GAAGTGCATCAAGTGCACGCTTGATGTAATTCTTCAAAAAATCCAGTCGTATGCACTAAGAATATCCATTGCTAGTTCCTTATTGTACACACGTACACACGTAAAACTAGCTTCTTATTCGGCTTCAAGGATGAAGGAAATGATCTAACAGTTTAAGGGAGAGATAAATTATTTTAATATCGTGAAAATTATTTGATGGTAGCAGTAGTCAGTAGAACTTTTTCAAAGACATTCCTGAAGACGAACCGTGACACCGTTTAATTTTTGTTCATTATCTTTCCCAGTGCATAATTATCGGATCGGGCACATTAATTTTTGTATGCCATGAGTTTACGTGTCTAGCTGTCTGTGTCTCTTCATGAGCACTCATTCATTATGTGACGAACCCCTGTGCCACAGTGACTACTGAAGTCACGTTTTTGCTGGAAGTGAAACTCGGATAGCCCAGGTGTAGCACAGTCCCATGATTTACAATGCAAATAAGGCCGTTTTCCCATGGTTAAACCAGGGTATAACATTAAATTGGTGGTCCCCCAGTCACGGAGTATCCCAATGACTTCTGCTCTAACAGATTAGGAATGATAAATTACACATTGCATCGATAGGAAATATAATATCAGTCACCTGCGGTGAGGGACTTCAAAACTGTACCACGGCCTACCTGGCTCCGGTTTCATTCATTACCCGGAGGTAAACGGAGCACTGGTTCCTGGGGTAGATCTGTGTAGTTGTTTTAGATGCCTGATGAAATAATTTTTGTTCCACTGTTGAACTGACCACGTGTGATTGAACGGAAACGAGTGCAGAAGAATCTTTGCTCCTCTGTCTGTGACATCCCATTGGATACGGAGAATTGTGAGAAACCACCCGGTTATTTTTTCTTCCGATTGTGCCTTACACCTCTGTGAAGTTTCCCGAAATTCATGCATGTTGAGTAAACAATTCCGGCATCCAAGTTCCACATTTACAAAATCCCTCTTGATTATGAGGCTTTCTGGTAAACGGACACACACACACACATTCAGTCGGACACCTGTCAGTTTTGTCTAACCGTGGTGGTGGTGGTGGTGGTGGTGGTGGTGGTGGTGGTGGTGGTGGTGGTGGTGGTGGT